AGGAAACTGACACCCAGATGGTGTTTCATTCTTTTCCCAATGTTACTAAACTATGGACTCACAAAAGTCACGTGCGTGTTATTACTGGGCTGGAAGTGTTCTCCTGTGCAATTTAGAGCTAAACTGTTTTCAGTGGCGTAGGACCTCATTTTACAAATGGGTTTTATCCTTCTTCAAATGATTGATGGGAAAGACAAAAGTAGAAAGGCCGGGATCTTTCCAGCACTGGGCAGCCCCAGATGCCGGCCTGCAGGAAATCTCAGGGCTGAGAGTGGGATCTTAGACCCCCAAGTCCCCACTGACACCACGTGCTGTTTTAACATTCCAATCCTCATGTTTTTAATTCTTGCCCCTGAGGGATTTGCTCATTTTACATACTGATTAGTTTATTGCAGCAACGCTAATTTGCACTGACATTAGGGATTACACATTGAGAATTAATAAATGTAAAGGGAACAACATTGAGGAAGGAAGAGGGTGCATGGCTCAGAGGACTGAAGATTTGAAAGATGGAAACCCATCCCTTGCTTCATTACTGAGCACAGTGTGTCCTGGGGCCATCACTTAGCTGTCTGTGGATGGCTTTCTATACCCGGAGTCAGAGTCTGAGACACAGAGAGAGGAGTTTTGGTTAATCACACAGGCTTTTCTTATGGATTAGTGTGATTAACAATAATATAGAGAATTCCCAGTTACCCACCTGTAGGTCCTCTGTAGCTAATTTTCAATTCCATGTTGATTTCCTTCAATAACTCCCATCCTGACCCAGATGGTATCTATTTAGGAAATTCAGGAAACTTGTAATATTTGCATAAGCAGAGCAAATTGGGAAATAAATTAGTGCGCAGAAATGATCTAGTGCAATAGAAAGCGGAATATAAACTAGTTCTGGATTTTCTAGGTCACAGACTCATTAGATCATTCAACAAATATTTGCCCCTACGCAGTGCTGGGCACCGGGGACAACAACATGACACAAGCTCAGTCTCTTTCCTCCGAGGCTTACTGCCTAGAACAAGCAGCTGTGTGAACAGGCTGAGACTGGAGCCCAAGGAGGAAGCGCATCCCATTCCCACAGACATCAATAGCTGACCATGTTTCGTTGCAGACACTTCCTCTTCCGATACATGCAAAGATCCTAGGAAACATTTCATCTTTAATTTCCATTCCTCTGAGTAGGACAGTGTGTCCACTGGACATGAGCACAGCGTTCATTTTCTTGATGCAAACTTTGAGATGCGTGGGATGGTAAACAGCAAGCTCCCTAGGACAGAGGTGTTCTGTGTCCTTCCCCAGATGGCCCCAGTGTGAGGGTGGGACCCGCACACAGTCGGTGCCCAGTGGTCATTTGTTGAAGAAATTTCATCCCGTAATCAGCCATATAGGGAAGCCATCATCATCCTCATCATCCTCATTTTAAAAATGAGGAAGTAAGGTTCACAGAGGTTAGACAAGTCCAAGGACACAGCTGGAAAAAGGTAAAACTAAGTCTCAAACTATGATCGTCTGCCTCCAGGTGCTAAGCCCTCTCTGTCATTCTCAGCTGCCCTTGTTGAATAGTGGGCAAGGGGGCTTCATCAGTGGGGTGTGTGGCACAGGACCAGAAGCCAGGAGGAAACAGAAGTTTATAATCTTGCTGCGAGCCTGAATGGCATATGTGTCTAGGAAGGGGCTGGAAAGTTGGAATCAGCGGATGCATCTCTGACTCCTCAACTCTGCTTCTTGCTCCTATGTGAGCAAGCGCAAGTCGCTTAATCTCCCTGACAGTCTGCATCCTTATGGACAAAACTGTAATAATAATATCTGCCTCTTAGGTCTGTAATAAGAAATGAGTGTGTGTGATAAAAATGGTAATGTCTGGTGTACAGTCAATTCTCAATACATACTAGTTTACTGTACTATTATCCATTTAAAAATTTTTATCGGTGCTGCTCTGATTATTTGCCTTTAAGCGCATGAAACAGAGAGTAACCGGTCTTAAAATAAATTTCAGAATTGTGTGGTATGTTACCATAAGTAAGCGTTTTCCAGGATTATTCAGAGAATGCCAGGAACACAAGCAAGGCTGCTTTTCCCGTAGCTGTGTTCTAACTTAGAAAAGCTGAGGTGACATATTTTCTACCATTGTTTCTAAAAATATTAGGGCTGCTTCCTTGCTGTGTTCAGTTGGCTCGCTTATTTCGTAAGTGCTGCGTTAAGATTTGGGAAGTGGGAGAGTCGCGTCCACCTTGCAGCTCCGTCAGTAGTTGGTTGAAGCTTTGGGCTGAGCACTGATCCATTGCCTTGCATTTTGCTGTCGGTGGTCGTCTCCCCTGCTCTGTGCAGAAACCAGGTCTTGCTTCCTGCTGGGTCCCCAGCACCCAAGCACCAGCCATGGCCCATTGTAGGTGGGCTTAGTGATGAGTTTTCGTTTTCTGAATGAATTAGTGAAATGCGGTAGCAGGAAAAGGAAATGAGCAGAGCACAACACATATTAGGACGCGTTACTCATTATCTTTTCTGGGAGATGTGGAGGGAGTGAGACCCTGTGTGAATGTACCAATGAGAACATAAAGCTTCATGCTTCTACTTGATGAGCCCTGCAGTCAATACGCATGTGCAGCCACGTTCCAGCTATGGGGAAGGAGAGGTGCGGACAGGTTTAGTTTATGCCTCAAACTGTCAGATGCTCTAGATACTTGCGTCTGTGCAGGGGAAGATGTCCTTGATCCTTAAAATATGAGTGGGATTTATTTCCAACACGGACGTGTCCATTTTGTCCAAGGGCTATAACAGGCTGGCTATGTTAAAATATTTAAGTAAATAGTACAGCTACTTAGTGTATGTAGTAGGAAACATTTTAATTGTGTTTATAAAAATAATACATGCACACTATAGAAAACTTAGAAAATAAAAGATTGGCCGAAAGAAGTAATCTCAACACCCAGAGATAAGAGCTGATAGCATTTTGGTGGATATTTTCATATCTTTTATTTTATATGTGCATTATTTTTATAACAGTTGGTTCATATTATACATGTTACCATAATACCTGCTTCAGAAGGTAGCAATGTCGGGGGCTGGCCCCATGGTGTAGTTGGTTAAGTTCAACGTGCTCCACTTTGGTGGCCTGGGTTTGCAGATTCAGATCTGGGGCCTGGACCTACACCACTCATCTGCCATGCTGTGGTGGCATCCCACATACAAAATAGAGGAAGATTGGCACAGATGTTAGCTCAGGACGACTCTTTCTCAGGAGAGAAAAAGAAGAAGATTGGCAACAGGTGTTAGCTCAGGGTGAATCTTCCTCAGCCAAAAAAAAAAAAAAGCAATGTATTGAACATTTTCCATGCACTTATGAATTCTTTGGTGACCTAATTTCAGTGGCTGTGTGGCTCTCCTCACGGTTGGCTGTGCCATGGTTTACTGCTCTGGTCCTCATTTGGGGCCTCAATTACTGTGTTTTGTTTTTGACCACTAAGAAAAAATGTGGTATTTTTGTAGCTCATCTTTGTGCCCATCCCTGATTATTTATATACAATGAATTCTTAGACATGGGAACATGGGAAACAAAATTATATTATATTCTAAGTCTAGTTCCTATTCCCAATGCTCATCAAGGAATTATGGTTTATGAAAACTTTTGCCAGTTTGTTAGGTGAAAAATGATATTTTATGTTGTTTGAATTCACATTTAAGACCATCTTTGGGGGCCGGCCCTGTGGCTGAGTGGTTAAGTTCGCATGCTCTGCTTTGGCGGCCCAGGGTTTCGCCAGTTCGGATCCAGGGCACAGACATGGCACCACTCATCAGGCCATGCTGAGGCGGCATCCCACATGCCACAACCAGGGGCACTCACAACTAGAATATACAACTGCGTACTGGGGGGCTTTGGGAAGAAGGAGAAGAAAAAAGAAGATTGGCAACAGATGTTAGCTCAGGTGCTAATCTTTAAAAAAAATAAAATAAAGAAATAAAACCATTTTTGACGATAAAACATTTTCCTTAACCTTTTGTAATTCCTTTTTTGAGTTTCTGGTAGGTGTGCTTGTCTTTTTCTTGATTTGATAGAACTCTTGAAATTAGCAATATTTTCTCTTTTCCTGACCCATAGGTGGCAATATTTTTCCCAACCTTCTGTTTTCCTTGTAATTTTAGTTGATGTTGTTTTCTTGGACGTAGTTTCCTTGAATTGTTGACATTGTTTTGCTTAGGGTAAATTTTTTTCTGTGCACCTGCACTGAGTTAGAAATTGCTCACTGTAAGCATGAACATGTCATCCTTTGATGATCAAACCTGCAAGATGCCTGCAAAGGCTGCTCACCAGCATAAGGCTCCAGCCTGTGCCCCATTCTCACCAGCATGGCTTTCTCCGAATACGCCAGCTCCTGCAAGCATAAGAGGAAGCCAAATAGATGTTCAGTGGTTTTCGACCGTCTTTTAGCAAAACCTTTTCTGAGAAGCTTGGACCCAAGCATCTGCAAGTCATTCAGACCTCTTTTTAATCCCCAAGCCAAGGTCAGCCCTGGAATGTGGCACTGTCTGGATGGTCAAGGCAGTGCTGTCCAATAACGTGATTTTAAATGATCTAATAGCCACATTTAAAAAATGTAAGAAGTAACAGGTGAAATTAATTTTAAGAGTATATTTAGTTCAACCAATATATCAAAAATATTATCATTCCAACACGTAATGAACATAGAAAATATCATTAATGAGATATTTTGCACTCTTGGCTTTCATACTAAGTCTTTCAAATCTGGGGTGTATTTTGTACTTTCAGCCCGTATAGCCACATGTGGCTACAGTATGGGACAGTGCAGGTCCAATAATAGCAAGTTGGCTATGGGAAAAAAGCAAAAGCCCCAGTAGACTGTCACTAGAACAGAAACTTACATTAGGGACCTCATTCCTATGATGCGCCTGAGGATAAGAACAGCTGGGGCCACTTTGTGAATTTCTTTCTGTTAACATTCTTGTAGATCTCCATATCTTTACCAGTATGTCGGTTTTATTTCAAGGGCTGGTGGTGACGACACCCAGGCCCCACTCAGGATAGAGCCAAAGACGTTGGAACCTACTGCTCAGGATAACCTACATGTGTCCATCACCAGACGAGACTGGCTTCTTCAAGAAAAGCAGCAGTTGCAGGTAAGCAGATGAAGAATCTCAAGAAATAGGACAGCATCTTTCTCATCCATTGAGGCCAAATGCAGCAAAGTGGGTCTTTGCTTTGCCTGAGTGTAGCGATTAGCTTTGGCTGTCCACCCGTGAAGTACCAAGTGGAGAGATGCGTGGAGATGATGAGGGAGCTTGTAGGAATCTCATACAAATGAGGAGTTGAAAGCTCAGCAGCGTTTGCTCCTGTTTTCAGTATTCCTCATTACCTTTGAGTAGGCTTTCCTTGTCTGCCAGGCTAATTTGTCACCTCTTATCATTTTGACCTTTAGAAGGATCTTTTGGAAGCCGAAAGAAATCTGTGCTCTGAAAATCCTTTATGGAAATGGCTATCAAGTTAGACTGTGAGTAGCAGCTGTCAGGGGCAGAGCTGGAAGTACAGACGGGGCGAGGCAGGTGCATCTGGGAGTGACCAGCAGGCAGCACATGGAAGCTCCAGATTGGCCCAGGGCAGTGGATCAAAAGTGGCCAAGAATCGTCCAGGGGCTAGAAATCTAGGAGCAGTCCTGAGTTAAGCAAAGCCAGGAGGCAATCAGGAGCTCTGAAGTCGGCAGGGCCCCCAAGGCAGGGAACCTTGAAGCTGGCCCCACACCTTCTTGAGCCTGGAGGCTGGAGGCAGGAATGGGGAACAGTGATGGAGGCAACATGACTTCTGGAACACCTGAGTCCAAATCCTGGCTTAGGCTCTACACAGTTGAATGAATAGACAAGTTTACAGGGCCTTGGAGAAAATACTGGAACCCCATCATCCCCACCGCCTCATGCAGAAGATGCTTGTTAGCTGATTTTGTCCACCCAAGACCCTACAATAGCAAGGTGGCAAAGGGAAGCAAAAGTCGTCACAATCTGAAAATATTCTCCAATAAACTGAGTACTTATATAGTCAATGAGCATCATCGTAGAGTTTGGATGGCTGACAATGTGAAATCTGGGTTTTGGTTTCGGACAATATTCACCAGTGAAAGGTCTACACAATTCCTGACGAGGTCAGAGTGTACAGAAAATAATTTTAGCCCAGGGAATTTTAATAATTTTAGAAGGGAGCGTTCTTGGTAACACTCTGGGGGAAGGTAGATACTCATTTATTCAGCAGGGATTTATTGAGGACCTACTATGTACCAGATACTGTTTGAGATACTGAGGGTTCCTGTGGAGTTTGATGTCCTAGTAAGGGTGCGAGTGGGGAGATGGACAAGACACGACAAATGCCTAAATTATAGATCTGCTGTGTTGTAGGGTGGTAAGGGCTGCAATGCATAGACTAAGGTTGTGGGGTAATGGGGTCGACTCATTGAGAAGGAAGGTTGAAGCAAGCACTGAAGGAAGAGAGGGAGTAGGCCTCAGGCAGGTGCCCAGTAAGAGCATTTCCGGCAGAGGGGACAGCCGTGTGGAGGCCTACAGTGGGAGTGTGCCTCCCCTGTTCAGAGGGCAGCCGGAGGCCAGGGTGGGAGAGAAGAGCAGAGGAGAGGGTCAGAGATAAAGGGGGCCTTGTAAGAAAGTGGGCTTTTCTCTGATTGGAATGGGGAGCGTTGGAGGGTTTTAAGCAGTGAAGTGACGTAATCTGACCACATTCTAAAGAATCACTTTGACTTCTGTGTTAAGAACAGAGTGTAGGGCCCTTGTGGGAAACACTATGGTGGTGATACTTCAAAGAATTAAAAACAGAATTACCACAGGACCCAGCCAATTCCCTTCTGGGGATACGCCCCAACCAACGGAAAGCAGGGACTCAAAGAGATGTGTTCATAGCAACATTATTCACGACAACCAAAAGGTGGAAGCAACCCCAGGGTCCATCAGTGGATGAGTGGATAAAGAAAATGTGGTCTGGGGCCGGCCTGGTGGTGTGGTTACATTTGTGTGCTCCACTTTGCCAGCCCAGGGTTTGTGGGTTTGAATCCCGAGCACGGACCTACACACTGCTCATTAAGCCATGCTGTGGTGGCATCCCACATACAAAATGGAGGAAGGTTGGCTCAGGGCCAATCTTCCTCAGCAAAAAAAGAAAACAGAAAATGTGATATATCTCTATAATGGAATATCATTCAGCCTTAAAAAGGAAGGAAATTCTGACACATGCTACAACATGGATGAAACTTGAGGACATTATGCTAAAGAAATAAGCCAGTCACAAAAGGACAAATACTATATAATTCCACCTATATGAGGCACCAGAGGAGTCAGAGTCACAGAGACAGGAAGTAGAATGGTGGTTGCCAGGGTCTGAGGGAAGAGGGGTGATGGGGAGGTGCAGTTTAACAGGGACAGAGTTTTAGTTTTGCAAGATGAGTTCTGTGAACGGATGGTGGTGATGGTTGCCCAACAGTGTGAATGTACTTGAAGCCACGGAACTGTCCACTTAAAAATGGTTAAGGTGATAAGTTTCATGTTTCATGTATTTTACCACAGTTAAAAAAAAAAACTGAAAAAAAAAGAAAACAAAACAACAAAGTGTGGGAAGTCAAAGGTGGAGGTAGGGACGTTAGTTGGGAGACGATGTCAATAATACTGTAATCTTGGACCAATGGGAGATGTGTATTATTTTCTTCTTAGCTTGTCTTAGAGGTGGATCTTGAGTCCTTCCTCAGTTTCCTCCCTTCCCTGCTGGAAGTGGGGTCGCTGAGTAGAAGTTGTAGGTGATCTGTCCTTTGGTGTTGAGAGAATATAAGAGATGAGGAGACATCCAGGATTAGAGCTGTGTTCTTATCAGCCAGAAACCAATGCACGGAACATGGGAGTGCGTTAATTAAAAGAGTCTCATTTGCCATTCAGGATCCTATGGGCGGTGAGATGATTATCTGCTAGAACACTGTGCACACGATGGGTGTTCAATTACCTGCTGCTTGTTTTACTTATTCATTGACCTCAATTGGACGATTCTCTATGGGGTCTTTGGATTTTGCTTTGCTATATTAGTGGGAATTAATTTATTTAATATTTTTCTGAACTTTAGACTGCATAGCACTATCTGCAGCATCTCATTGTTCTTTGACTCCTGCAGACTTAAGAAGCTCTGATTTTTAATCCTTCTCTACACATGGAATTTTCATTTGGGGACAGACCAACCGCGGACTGTTTGCTTTTCTCTTTTGGTGTGTGGCTCGTGGTACCTGCAGACCTCGTATCTCAAGTACATGATGTTTGCCATCCTGGGTTCTAGCTCTTCCACCTGAAATGACATAAGGCATTTAAATATTTGCTGGATTCTTCCAGGTCAAATTCTTGGCTCACCTCCCCCCCCCCCCCCCCCCCCCGCCATAGTTATTTAATGCTTGGGAGGGAATGTTTTTCCTTATGCCAACAAATCAGAAATATAAAGCTGGTATCCTTTTTCCAGTTCAGCAAACTTCCAAAAATCTGCCTGCCTCGGAAGGGGATCTTCATGGCGCTCGTGCCTATGGCCGACTCTCATTTAAAGGGCTTGTTGTCAGCAGAGCAGTTTGCCATGAGCAGAGTTAGCTTATAAAATCTGGTCTCTCCTTTCTCTACAGAAGGAAATTGAAGCCCTCCAAGCGAGGATGTCGGTGCTGGAAGCAAAAGATCACCAGCTGAGAAAGGAAATAGAAGCTCAAGTGCAGCTCCTCCCGTGGCAGGGCTGCGACCTGACTCCCCTGATGGGCAGGCTGTCCCTGGGTGAGCTGCAGGAGGTCAGCAAGGCTGTGCATGACACCCTGGTCTTAGCCAATCAGATTCCCCTCTGTGCAGAACCGCCTGAAACCGTAAGGAGGTATTGGTGATTTCCTAACTGATTTTGGATTGCTCTCCTCTTTGACCTGTTTATGGGATTGATTTCGTCTGCCGTCCCTCATCTATAAATATTTTCCAAGCAGTGCTGTATTTTTCCAGTGGAAGCCCTATCGTTATTTTGAGCGGGAAAATTCTTCATTGTGTGGGGCACTCCTGAGCATGGCCAAGATATTTTAGATCCTGGCCACCCAACTGGCTAAAGGCCGGTATTCTTCTCCATTCTCATGGGCGGCCTCCCCATTTCCAAACACCCCTTTGAGATCTATTGGAACTCAATTGCTTAGAGATTCTGATGCCCACCTGTGCTGAGGATGGTCGTCTGGAGAGAGGTGAACTACCTTTCTCGCCAAGGTGAAGGACCAACCATTGAGAGGGGGAGACTCAATCGATGACAGGGTTTCCACCTGGAAGAATGACTTCTTATAAATGACGGCTAACATTTATTGAGTGCTTCCTATGTGCCAGCTCTACTCTATGAATTGCTGCTATTATTATATCCATTTGACAGATGAGAAAAAGAAAGTTTAAGAAGGTTAATAATTTGCTCAAAGTCACAGTTAATAAGAGGCAAAATTGATCCTTAAACTCCTGCTCATTAATTCAAAGCCCCGTTTTTTATCCACTTAGCATGGAGTGAGACTCTCCCCTGCGTTTTGTGTTGAGGAATAGCCATAAGATGCACTTCTGCCTCTTGCTCCTCCGGAGCTCATAGCCTTATTTTGGAGAAAGACAGAGCCCACACTTACACATGTTAGACAGAAAGTGATTTGTACCCGAATGACTGTGCAGGTGGGTAGGAAGGATGGGAGCGCCATGGGTGTAGGGCAACAAGAGGGATTCATGGTCAACTCACCATTTGTGGTGGTTGAGACTGTGGACTCTGCCATCTGGTTATCTGGGTTGAATCCTCACTCACCCACTTGTTGGCTGGGAACCACTTATTATTCGGGGCAGGGTGATGATAATAATGCCTACCTCACAGGGCTGTTCTGCGGGTGAATGGAGCTGAGACACGTAGAGCTCTCATAGCAGCGCCTGGATGGGAGCAAGCAATTTACTATCCTTACTGTTTCTCATTTTTCTCATGGGGATTCCAGTCTCCTGAAGGCCTTCAGACTGCCCATCCAAATGTGTCCCAGACTCCTTAGTGAATAACTGTCCGCTTACACATGTGTTACATCCTATCCAGCCTAGAGCACAAGTCACAGATGGTGTTCCAGGGAGCGGCTCAGGAGTTCCTCCCATCCCCCTCCCAGCCCTAATATTTCACCGCAGAAATCTAACCCCATGGCTTATGCCCATGCTGAAGGGGGAGACATTGGGAGAGCTGCCAAATTTCAGCCAAAGGGAACGGATCGTTGCCTCTGCCTTGTGCTGTCCCTCCTGCACCTTTCGTATGTGTCCTTACGCTGTTGCCTCAGCCTCTAAGGATCTTTCCTGTTCCTGCTCCCTTGTTCTCCTGTGGAAGTCATTCTCTGTCTGTGTATACATACATGTGTATAAGTACACATAACATGTATATTACACACCATGTGTTATATGTAATTATACATGCATACATATAATATATGCACTATGTTATAAGTTATACGCACATATGTAATATGTATAAGATGCAGTATACATGTAAATATATTTTTATAGATGCATATATGTATACATGAGGCCTAAAAGGAGCCTTGTGTGGTTGCACCATCCAGATGTGTCCTACTGATTTCTCCTTTTGCTTTTAACAGCAGAGGTTGTTATCCTCCTCTCCTCTCTTCAGAGGCTGATGGCTCTTTGAGGGAAAAAGCTGGGGCATGCTTAACTTAGAATCCACTGCAGTATTTCACAAAGCCTCTGTGTTTTGAGCTGAATTCCTGGGGAATGTCGCTGCAGGTGGGCCCTGTACACTGCACAGAGATGTGAGGGCTGCAGGGTGAGTGCTTTCTCACTAGCTCCTGGTGTTCAGAGCAGCCGCTGTGGCAGCCGGGCTCTCCTTGTTATCCTCCGTTTAGAGATGAGGAAACGGGAACTCAGACATTTCCCTGGTTACGTAGCTACTAATAGATTCTTGTACACCTCTGAAGCTGCCTTTGGGTCTGAACCAGTAAAAGACAGTTTCTACCCAGAGATCCAAGGAAGTTACTTCTCTTAGTCTAAAACAAGGAATGCCATAGTGTGGTTGGCTGATTAAGCTGGGCCCCAACTCGCATCTTCTTATTCTAGTCGATTTCTCTGCCCGTGTACTCCAGCTTGCCTTTTCATCAGGATGAGATGCAGACATGCAACAAAAGTGTGACTTCTGCCCAGTAATCCAGTGCTCTAATCAATTGAACGGGCTCTTGAAAGACTTCAAAGTTTGTGGCCATTGGATTTTATGACGCTTTTGGGGAAATTGGACCTGAGGATGGCTCTTGAGCATGGCACAGTGCTCTCTTGGGGCTTCATCATCCCCGAATGCAATTGCTCCCGCTGAGGTTACAGAGTTCAGGTCAAGAGCAGGCTCTCACTTTTCGTGCTGAGATGACCTTGGGAAAATCTGGGTATCTCAGTGACTCAGAACTCCCGGGCTCTGTGTAGGAGGAACTCTTAGGAACATAAGAACTGAGAGTTGCATGGGAGGGTAGGAAGGAAAATACAGGAGTGGTTCAAAGATAAAAAGAAACATGGGCAATTGAAGGGCTAGTTCATGGCGTGACCTTTCCCGAATGGTGAAGTCGTTGTAGGTGCAATCAGCATGGGATGCTCTTTGTGAGCAGAGCTGGGAGAGGTTGTGTGCTGCTGGAGCGCGACCACCTGAGACATCCTCACAATCTGGGTGACACTGCAAGCGGCCACCTTGGCACCTCCTTTATTTACTCAGTGGTGCAGGGAGGCACCTCCCTGCCTTGGGCGCTTCGGGGTGTGTAGGTGTAGGTTTTGACTGGTCAGCTTCCTTTCTTCCACCTAGGGAGGGGAGGCATCGTGCGTTCCCTGCCATAAATATCAATTGGAAAAACCACCGTTGTTATGTGGGCTTTCCATTTAAGGAGGAAGACATACCTTTTCCAAGCTGATGAGATGCAGCACAGACTCCCAGAGACAGAGCGTTTGAAAGAAGCCACTGTGGAGTCTTAGGGCTCAACAGAAGCGAGATGGCTTGGTTTGGTATTTTTTTAACTAATTGTATGTGATCCTGTTAACTTAGTTTTGATATGCAGTATTGGTTGTCTTTTAGAAAATGCTGACTTGGGGGCTATATCCCGTAAGTGCCCCAGCCAGAAGAAGTCATCTTATATACATCATTAGCTGTCTTTGTCGTTTATGAGAATGGTCTCTTTTTAGGTCGGGTGGAGAGATCCAGACAAATTGTGAAATAGGAATATCTTGAAGTCTTATGAACAGAGGTTGCAGAGTCTAATATTGTCACAAAAATCTAGAGAAACAGACCACTCAACTTCCTAACTATTACACTCATCATCCATAAAGATTTTTCATAGAGGCCAGTTATAAACTCAGGGTGCTGTCTGGGGAGAAGCTGCTTCTGATTTACTCAACTCAATAACTTGCAAGTTCAAAGGGAAGGCTATGTTTGTTTCCCTGGATCAACCACACGTTGAGCTTGAAAAGGAACTTCCTAATGACACTTGGCAGTTCTGAGCGAATTGCTGGTGGAGACTCTGTGCTTGCCTGGGCGCCATCATTTCTGACCGTAGCTTCTTGGAAATTCTCTGGCTGGTGTTAGACCAAAGCTGGAAGCAGAAGGGCCTGCGTGGGGATGTGAGACCCAGTGGCTCTTTATTCGGATATTATAATAGAAAGCAAAGCAGCTGTTTGAATTTTCTAATGTCTGTATTTTAGATCAAATATCTTAGCAGGATGGAACGAAGACCTGCCTTCTCAGACCCATCATAGCTGCCTTTTGATTAGAGCCAATGAGAATGGTTCTTTTCCAGTGAACAAGAGGAGAACTTTTTTTTCCCTCCCCAAAGCCCGTGCATCATTGTATATCCTAGTTGTAAGTCATTCTGGTTCTTCTATGTGGGATGCTGCCACAGCATGGCTCTGTGAGTGGTGCATAGGTCTGCCCCCAGGATCCAAACCGGTGAAACCCTGGGCTGCCAAAGGGCAGTGCGCAAACTTAACCACTCAGCCACAGGGCTGGCTCACATGGGAGGAGAACATTTTTAAGCACCTGGGGAATCGGGACCGACACAGTGTGGAAGCTGACAGGGCAAGGATTTACAAAGGATAGGAGCCACTTGAAAGATGCGTTCATTTGAATTTCCCCCATCCCTGAGGTTCCAATCCTTCGGCTTTAAAAGAAACTCTTGGTTTTCTCCTGCAAGTCTTCCCTTGATGGGAGAGGTCTAGAAGGATGGCTTTCATCCAGAGAGCTTGGTTCTCCCCCAATATTAACTGGTTCTTCTCCTTCCGTCCCATACTGACTCCACTCCCAACCTTGGTGATGGGATTGGGGTGTAGGGGTAATGGAATTGAGGTGTGGGGGCACAGGGAGGAAGGAGGTGACAGTTTCTGGGGTTTTCTGTGGGCCACATCCCTGAATGTGGGGCATGAGGTTTCATCTGTTTATTTGGTGTAAGATGAAGAGGGGAGTGACTTGTAGCTCATCTTTCCCGGCTTTTGTGGGTCTGTGTGCCTTGAACACTAGGGGAGGGCTGTGACCCCATCTAGCACACATGTGGCTAACTGTAAAGTGTGGCAGGAATAATCACAGTAATAACAACAGTGGTGATATGAGGGCTGCACACGATCCTTTCCAACATTCTTTAGAGACACTTGACTGGCTTGTATTACTGTGTGGTTGAGTTCTTCATTCCTCAGCTCCTGGAATTTTCATGCTTCGTGTGAAATGTCTTCTGGCAGCTCATGGATGAATTGCCTCTCACTGTGCATTTGGAAGAAACGTGTCACATCTTTTCACAAACCACTGGCGCAAACTGTGAAACAAACTCAACTGGTTACACTCAATTGGCTGGACCTTGGTGGGTGCAT